GCAAAGGAAAAGTGCTAAAATTGAAGAAAGCACTTTATGGGCTGAAGCAAGCGCCGAGAGCGTGGAACACCAGAATCGATACATACTTCAAGGAGAATGGCTTTCAGCAGTGTCCCTATGAACATGCTGTGTATGTGAAGAAAGATAAAGAGAAAATGCTGTTAGTTGCCCTCTATGTTGATGATATGATTTTGTTGGGCAACAATGATCGATTGATAGAAGAGTTTAAAGGTGCAATGACACAGGAATTCGAGATGACAGACTTAGGTTTGATGAAGTACTTTCTTAGTCTGGAGGTTTGACAAGAATATGATGGTATCTTTGTCTCTCGGGAGAAGTATGCCAAAGATATCCTAAAGAGATTCAACATGGATAGCTGCAATCCAATTTCGACACCAATGGAGCCTGAAGCAAAGCTTTCGAAATTTGATGGGGGAGAGCGTGTCGAAGCAAACAAATTTTGAAGCCTGGTTGGAAACCTTCGTTACCTCACATGCACAAGACCTGATCTTTCACTAAGTGTGGGAATAGTGAGTCGATTTTTGGAAGAGCCAGTTTATACGCACTAGAAAGCTTTGAAGAGAATACTTCGATACGTCGAAGGAACCGTGTCACTTGGAATGTTTTATTCGAAAGGAGAAGACTACAAGCTAACTGGATATTCTGACAGTGATTGGTGTGGAGACGTTGATGATCGAAAAAGCACCTCAGGCTATGTTTTCTTTATGGGAAATACTGCTTTCACTTGGCTTTCGAGGAAGCAACCAATTGTGACTCTTTCGACGTGTGAAGCATAATATGTCGCAGCATCATGGTGTGTGTGTCATGCAATTTGGCTAAGAAGACTGTTGGGCAAAATGGAGTCGAAACAAGAAGGTGCAATAATAATTTGAGTGGATAACAAATTAGTGATCGAACTAGCAAAGAACCCAGTGAACCACGAAAGAAGCAAACATATTGATGTCAGATTTCATTTCATTCGAGAACATGTGAAGGAAGGAAGCGTCGAACTGAAGCATGTTGCAAGCAAAGATCAAGCAGTAGATATCCTCACAAAACCACTATCGAAAGAGCTGTTCGACAGAGGAAAGAAGATGTTGGGTATGATGGATCGAAGGAACATTTGAATTTAAGGGGGAGTTTTGTTGGTTAAATTCAAATCAGTATAAGGGAGGGCAAAAGCTAGATGCTCTTGGGCAGCCAAATATTTCCTAGGGACCCACTAGCGTTAATTGTCATAGCATTTAATATTCTCTATCTTGTAATCTCTATATAAAAACATAATGTAAACACATCAAATTAAGACATTTGAAATATAAAGAGAAGTTCTGAGATTAACATCCTCTCCGCCATTTTATAAGTTTCATTTGTCTTCAGTATTATATTTGTAAGTTTGTTATATATGAAGTCCTACTAATCAGTTTTTTAATTATCATTTATAGAAGAGTGTATAATATCTAGTACATATGATTAATTGTGGTGAAGATGTTACAGAGGTTTAGGTGAATCCTTATGGCTCTTGGCGTGTTAAGACACAGAGTGAAAGTGAACGTCTGCATTTAGGGAATATTGGCCGATGGTACTTTCCTAAGAGATCCCTGTGTGCTTCTACTGATGTAGACATCAAAAGAGTAGAAACATTAAAGCAAGTAAAATAGGAAGGTTTTTCAGACAGACCTGCTGATTTAAAACTTGGCATTAGGAAGAATCAGAAAGGAATTTGGGAAGAATTACATTTTGGATAAACACTTCTTGGCTTCTTGGCTCTTTGAGGACTATCTTTAAATTTGATGTTACATATTCACGGTACCTTAGTCTAATACGTTAAGGTGACTATACTTATTTGATGTTGAATAAATTGTAGGTATATTTTGAGAAATTTATACTTGAGAGTCCTGAAATGGGTTTAGAATTGATGCAGAAGGTTCAATAATCTCTAATATTCTTAAAGCTTGATTGTTCCTATTTTAACTTCAAAATCGGTTATATGAAGACTAAATGGTGCACTTCTGGAAGAATTTGTTTTCTAAGTTCTCAAAACTCAGAATTTGTTGGCTAATCCTCTTTAATGTCATGTAATATCACATGTAGACATTAACCCATTTCATTGCTTTTTAATGTGATGATGAACGTATATGTTGTATTTATGTAGTTGTAGAAATAGTAAAATTTTGTCTAATGCTTTGGTGGGTGTGATTTTATAAATCATGTTATCCTAAGTCAAGATTATCTCTCTTTCAGATGTGTATTAAACCAGGTTAGCCATTTACTTTTGCAGAAGAAGGCAAACCATTTAATTGGGGTCTTAGAGCATTTGGGAGGTAGGTTGTGCCTCAAATGTCAACTATACTTTTCCATATCCAGAGTATTCTTAGCTATTTTCTTACAGGTTAATACTCTATTAGTTCTAAAGTTGTTCAAACCAATTTATTTAGTGTCTGTTTTTTTTTTGTTCCAACATGCATTGTTGGGTATATGGTGTTGCATGTTACATTCTTAGTGGACTGGTGTGATACTCTACAAGTATTGCAATTTGTTTGGAATTGTAATTTTGGTTTGAATTTATATTTTTTGCTCGGGGTATAATTCAAGTGTTGGTTTGATTTTGGTATGTGGATTTCCTGGTGTGACTGCTTTTCTGTATGTTTCAGCGGTGTATTTCATAGCAAATATTTGTTCTCTGTACTTCCAGACATTTCTTATGTCTTAGTTATTAGTGTAATTGGTTCTTTTTGCTGCTTAAAAAAAAAAAGATCTGAGGCAACATGATGATTGACAACTTTAAAGCAAGTTGCTTTTTATATTTGAGAGAAGTTGATATGACACTATTGTAAATTATAGTAATTCCCACGTTCTCTTGATTGAAAGACATACATGGACCAACCTATATGTTATAATGTATAATCAAATAAAACTCTATACAATCAGATTCTTTTCTAATCCACGTTTAAAAAAAAAAAAGCAAAATGAATTCCTTTATTGGAAATTTTCACCCCAATAACCATGATTTCCCCCCTAATTTTCATTATACCCATCTTTTCATCATATTTACCAATCTAACCAACTTTGAATTTTCTTTTTTTTAATTACAAGGGGGCGCCATCCCCTTTGACTCCTCCCTTATAAATTATAGGGGGCGCCATAGGGGTTGACTCCCCTTCCTTAATTTTTAAGGGGGGCGCCATGGGGGTTGGCTCCCCTGCATTAATATTCAAAGGGGGAGCCATAGGGGTTGACTCCCCCGTGACAAGTGTACGAAAAAAGTGATTTGCATGCATGCAGAATGCCAAAGGGGATTTAAGGGAGGAGGCAAAAGGGATGACGCCCCCTTTATAAATTATAGGGTGCCTCCAACCTGGATGGCGCCCCCCTATAATTTATAAGGGAGGAGCCAAGGCCAATGGCGCCCCCTTGTTATTTTTATAAAAAAAAACGTAAAAGTTGGTTAGTTTGGGATATATGGTGTGAAAACATGATTATTTGGGTGAAAAATTCCCTTTATTGACCTATGTCTACAAATATAACCAATTACTACTACTAAGAATTACATGGACCTTTCATCATGAATTGAATTGATGAAAGTTAAAATGGGTTATAAGTTCAAATCTCTTACGATGCCTGTTATGAATCGTTATCTAATACAAGTATTTTTTTCATTTTACCGGCTAGATAATTGAGTTTATTTTGAAGATTGATATTTGCAATTTCAATTTTTGAAACATTATAATAATTTGTTAAAACAAATACTATATTTTTATCTATTTTTTTCTTCTTATTTTAGATCATTAATATCCTTTCTAAAAAATAAAATATATTTTATGTCATCATATTGCAAATTTATAGTTGAATTTTTTTTTATTATAATTTTTTATTATATATTCTCCATTTAAAATAAAGGATCTTTTTACAGATATATTTAAGTATATTATTTCCACAATATTAAAATAAATTTACACGTAGAAAACACAAATATCTTACTGGTTCTTAAAATCATTAATCTTCTTCAACAAAGATAAAATAACATTATTTGCTAGATGTGTCATATACTTATGCAACAATGGAGAATGGTTGATGAACAACTAATGATGAAGACCAAATAGAATTTTGGATACCTGAGTTAAGGATAGAAAAATTTGTTTTTTCGAATGTTTTTAAATATTTATTTGTTTAAATCTAGTTAATAAATGAAAATTGTGATACGTCAATATCAAAGTGACACCTAAAACTATGAAACATGAATTAAAATTATTTAAATTTAAAATAATAAAATTATAATTACATAAAACTGAAAAATAAAAATATAAAATTATTCAACAAAAAATATTAGCTTAAATTAAAATTATTTAAATTTAAAATAATAAAATTATAATTATATAAAACTGAAAAAGAAAAATATAAAATTATTCAACAAAAAATATTAGTTTAAATATTCAATATCATATTTTTATAGATGATAATTTTTATTATTGTTTTTTATTATAAATAACATATTTTATATGGTGCTTAATTAGATCAAATTTTAAGTGTTGAAATAGTATTACATTTAAAAAGTAAAAGAAGAAGGAAGAGATAAAATATAAAAAATTTGAAGGATCTTCATGGTAGATTTCTTCATGGGAGTATTCTCGGGAGATGGGAAAAGGGAAAAAAAAGTGTGAGAAATAAGAATGGCTGTAATAGTAATAATTATACTCATATTAAATAGATTCACGTGCCTTTGTCAACCTGTGTTTGTCGGTCAATCTTTACTCCCACCTTTGAAATAAAAACCCATTTCCTCCACCCACTTTTAGTTCCAACGAAACAAGAGAGAAAACAACTTTCATTTGCACTCTCTTCTTGTTCTTCTTTTTTACATTATTCTCCATTCAAAATAACTCACCTTAACACACACACACACGCGTGTAATACCTTTTTTTTTTTCCAAACCAAACTCTAGTACCAACAACAACAACTTCCTAGTATATCACAAACATTGTTCACCATTTGTAACAACCAAAATGGAACTTGCTTTGAGCTTAGGTGACACTCCAAAATTACCTTTTTCTTTTCTTGACAAACCCACCAAAGATCCACTACCACCTAGTTTCTTCTCCGAGGAAAAAACAAGTTCCTCAGATCCACCTATTCAACTAGACCTTCTTCCTTTCACTCCTGTTCTTAGATCTCATCACCATTCTTCTCATCTTCCCATTCCTTGGCTCACACAACCATGTAATTTTCTATCATAAATCTTACTTTTACAACCTCAATATCGTCCTAGAAATTATTTAATATGTTTTGTTTCTTCATTATAGCTATAACTTATAGTTTGTATTTGTTTCTAATTAGGTGGACCGGTGAGGGAGCTAGATGTAAACCGTTTTCCGGCCATGACGGAGGATCTTGACGACGGCGCGTCACTGTCATCACCCAGCAGTTCGGTGTCTCCGTTTCCAATGGATTTCAATATGAGGAATAAGAATGCTGAATACGGAGGAAGAAACAAGAGAGAAAACGAAGGTGATGCTGAAAGAGCCAGTGATGATGATGAAAACGGGTCAACTCGGAAGAAACTCAGGCTCTCTAAAGATCAATCGGCTTTTCTAGAAGAAAGCTTCAAAGAACACACAACCTTAAATCCAGTAAATTTCTTCTTAATCTTTTAGTTCTTGTTAATTAATCATGTTTATTTATTAATTAATCATGTTTATTTTGTACTCCAGAAGCAAAAACTTGCACTGGCTAAACAGTTGAATCTCAGTCCTCGTCAAGTTGAAGTTTGGTTTCAAAACAGAAGAGCAAGGTGAATTTTAACCTAATTGTTTTTGTTTTCTCTCTCTCGACCAATTTATAAGAGAACATTTACTTTTTAAATTTATTTATGGTAAATTATGTCTGATTTATCAGGACAAAGTTGAAGCAAACGGAAGTAGATTGTGAGTATTTGAAGAGATGTTGCGAGACATTAACAGAAGAGAACAGAAGATTACAAAAGGAACTTCAAGAGCTTAGAGCATTGAAAACTACTCAACCATTCTACATGCAACTTCCAGCTACCACTCTCACTATGTGTCCTTCTTGTGAACGTGTAGCTACAAACCCTTGCAAGAATCAAACCAACAACAAGACAAGAGTGTTACCTTTCTCAAATGCCCAAGCCCAACAACAGGCCCAGGCCCAAGTTCAAGCCCATCAAATTCCTTCATGATAATATTATCATCAAACTTTTTTATTTGTTTTTTTTAACATGATATATATGATAGCTAATATCACAGAGGATGACAAGATTTAGTTTCACTAACCTGTTTTGTGTATGTATATATAATTTAAGATTAGATTTTGACTCGTGCATTTGTGGTTCTTTTTCTTTTAATTTTCGGTTACTTTATGAGTTGATAGAATGAATTTTTTTTTTATCAATTAGAATACTTTTAGGGTTAAATAAGTAGGAGGTATCTATATAATATATGTATCAGGTATCCATAAATATGACAACTTTTGATTATAGTTTATAGTTTATGTTCGATGTCCTTATAAATATGACAATTTTTTATTATAGTTTCAAAATTTTCTTCAAGAGATGGTTTTCATAGAAAATTTCGTCCTAAAAAATGTTCCTTCCGTTAGATTTTTTTAATGGAGGGTGATAGTGGTATGTTATTGAGATCCTTGTCATGACCACATCACATTGAGTCGGAATAATTATTGTTATTAGAGGAATATAGTGTGAACTTTAATTTTTTTTCATTGTTTTCATCTTGTTCTTATTCCTTCCTATTGTTCATTTAGAGTAAGCAAAGTAGAGGAATATAGTGTGAACTTTAATTTTTCATTGTTTTCATCTTGTTATTAGAGGAATATAGTGTGAACTTTAATTTTTCATTGTTTTCATTTAGAGTAAGCAAAGTAGTTTTTTACTATTCGGTAAGTTTTGACGAACTATGAAGTGAAAAAGTGTGGATGCAATGGTGTTATGATTTTATACATGTGCAAGAATAAAAAGAATTAAGGTCGATTGTTTTGGAGGTGTCTGTATTGGAAAAATGCAGGAACCTGCATTTTATTTATTTGGGATGATGAAATTGTAAAAGTCAAGGATGGTGAGCAATGCGTAGATTCAGAACAGAGGAAAGACGATAGTAATGTGAGAGAAATGCAAGCTTTAGAAACTTCAAAGGAGCTCTACGAATCATTCATGAAGAAGAACAAGAGGTTGAAGATGAAGATTAAGGCAAAGACATTTTGGGGGGGAAGCTGAAGACATTATATGTTGTAGTTTTAGTCTTGGTCAATTTGTATTTGTTAATTAGGTGTAATTGTTGGTTAGGTGTAATAATTTGTAACGTGTAAGTGTTAATCTTGTATAAGTGGTATGTTATGAAATGTAACATGAACTGGTTTTGTAATCTGGAATTTGTTTGAAATATAAATTGGAATTTTATGTAATTCATTTAGTATTGTTCAATTGGTATGTTTAATTTGTAGTTTCAATTGCAGAACATAATTTTGACACAACCTGACTTATAAATTGGACATGATATGATTGTATAAAATTGAGTCTATATAATTGGGTATAGTTTCAGCTAATTAGAATTGTTTTGTAGGTCTATCTAGCATATAATTGATTGTATAAAATTGACCTATTAGGTGGTTTTAAAATTGATTGTATAAAATTGAAACCATGTGGACTTAATAGTCAAGGAACATGAGTAGGAGAAACTGATCAAAACATAATGTTCACAGGTTCACATTGAGCATACCATAACATGTTCACAAGATAGATTTGTTCTCAACAGATTTCATTAACTTAACATACTATAACATGTTCATAAGAGTACATCAGTACAATAAACTGATCAATACAACACATAAATACCATTACATCAAAAGAATATAATTTGTTCAAAAGACTACATCAGTACACCACCTTGAAAGATTTGTTATAATACCAGGTGGTTTGAAAGACTTATTCTTGCACACTTTGAGTGCTTATCAAAGAAAACATTGACATTACTTTGCTTTGGTGCAGTTGCCTTGAGAGGTGATTTGTCAACCTTTAAAGGGTGAATATCCAAGACCTAATCACCTCTTAATAATGCAACCGGATTCTCATCCAATGAAGCATGTGTAGCTTGATCAGTTGGCTCACATGGTTCAGTTACCATTTCATCAGTTGGATCAGTTGACTCACATGGTTCAGTGACAGTTGGATCACTTGCCATATCATCAGTTGGATCAATATTAGCCTTTCCCTCATTGACATAATCCATTCCTTCATTGGCACTTGGACTTACCTAATTGGAACTTGACTTTCCCTTTTTGGCACTTGACTTTCCCTCCTTGACAATTGACATTCCATCTTTGACACTTGACTCTCCCTCTTTGACACATGACTTTGGCTCTTTGACACTTGACTTTGCCTCTTTAACATTTGACTTTCCCTCCTTGGCACTTGACTTTCCCTCCATGAAAATCGACATTGCATCTTTGACACTTAACTCTCCCTCTTTGACACATGACTTTGCCTCTTTGACACTTGACTTTACCTCTTTGACACTTGATTTCCCCTATTTGACAGTTGACTTTGCCTCCTTGACAGTTGACTCTCTCTTCTTGACACTTGATTTCCCATCCATGACAACAGCTTCCTCATTGACAATTGGTTCCATAGTGTTGGTTTCCTCATTAACAAATGCATCTTTGATTATTTCTTCCTTCACCTTTGTATTCTTTGTTCCCCCTTAAATGTACAATTGTTGGTAGGTCCCTTAGGTCTCCCCTGCATGAAACAATCAAATAATTAACATTGTTACCCTTGCATAAAATATCTAGATAAACAATAAGAAAATGTCATATTTAAGTTAAACAATACCCTTTTTTAGTGTCAAATTGACCTTGATAATCTGACTTGCTTGTGTAGGTAAGTCTTGAGTGGCTTGGTTTGGCAATTCTTGACTAGGTTGGGTGGGCAAGTCTTTAGTAGCCTGGGTGGTATTACTAGAGGGAACAACCACAATCTGCATGTTCTTCATGCAGGTCCTTTTGTTGTGACCTAGTTCAAAACAAGCCTTGCACCTATGGCTTGTATTAGTTCTTTGCCACTTTGTCTGGTTCACTTCATCTGACTTTCTCCTTTTAATTTTCTTGGGCCTACCTGGGCCATGTTTGAACATAGGGGGTAGCATGGTTTCTTTTTATATTTTTGGCCATTCAAAGGGGTGATAACTTCACTATAACTTTTTCATAAGTGCTTTTGTGATAACACTAATGCACATATTTCACAGGGTCATCCACTTTCCTATGTATGGCAACCACACCATGTCTACAAGGAATCCCAACAAGATCCCAATAGTTTCATGAACATGATTATTTTTCTAAATCCACTACAAAACTATCAGTAAACAAAACATGTGTGACTTGAAAGGTTAACCTACCAGTATAGGTTGCTGTCCAACTAACACTTTTTTCAATCTCTCTATCTAGCCTCCTTAATGGTTTTGTCATTATTTTCCCTTTATAACTGTTGCACCCCAAAATTTGACCAACTTATTTCACCTGATTTTATGTTTCATAGCTTTAGCATTTGCATATTAGGTCATATTAGGTCATGTACATAATTCATTCATCTGCATAGCATAGCATGGGCAAGCCATCCAACAAGGGACCGAGTGCCATTCTTATCTCTATGAGCCTATCAAGAGGTTCTTATTCAAAATTTAAGCCTATGCAAGTCATCAGAAAGGAATTGAAGGTTGAGAAGTTAGTGAACCAATCAGTGGGTTTTTCTCCTATCTTTAGGGGGTTTGAAGACTATCAAAGAGATTGTGGGCTATGAATTGAGGGCATGGAATGTATATATACATCATGGAAGACCTAGAGGGTCATTTTTAGAGTGAGACAAGTCATTGATGTGATTACAAGAACTACAGTTGAAGACAGTCAATTAGGGTTTCATCTGGGTCAACCCTAGGTCAACCCTAGGTCAAATACTTGATTGAAGGGACATCAAGGCCTGTTTGAAGAATGGGGGATCCATCATTTGATATATGGATATGGATGTGGTGTTGTGCCAAGGAGAAATCAAAAGAAATCAAGAAGAAGAGAAGTTTCTAAATTAGGGTTTCAGTGTAAAATCCCCTAATTTAGGGGAAACTTCCAAGTAGAATAATTCAAGATACAAGTCTCTAATGGATATTTGGCCAACATGGAAATTGTAGAGTATCTCAAGACCTTTAATTTTAGTGGTGGGAGGCATCAAGGAGATTTGTAGAACTCAAGTTATGGTTCTTGCAAGTTACAGGTCATCAGAGGCATCTGAAATTTGTCTGTGAAAGTTACTTGACTTCCCAGCAACTTTTGCCCCATAAGGAGTTTTCAAATGGATTTTTGGCCAACATGAAAGTTGTTCCTTATAATCTTAGCTTTCTAGAAAGGTATGGTATGCCTCAATCTGATTTGTGAAGCTCTACTTATGATCTTGACAAGCCAAGGGCATTTTGGGCATTTGGAGGTTATAAGTCATTTCAAGCATAAGGCCATATCTCCTACTTCCAAGCTTCAAATGGAAAAATCTTCAACATAAAAAATGCTTAGAATGATGTTTTAAGGCTATTAGGGAGGTCATGAGATGTTAAAAAGGCTTGTATCAAAAAGTGATAAAAATGGCCTAAAAAAGGGGAATAAGTCAAATAAAGTGGTGAAAAAAATCAAATTTTGGGTTAGAGGTCACAAACAAGCCATATGACATACCAATTTGATTGAAAAATGCATTTTAAAGACAATGGCATTGGCACATTTTTGAATTGAGCAATAATTTCATGACTTGCTTTGTAAAAGTGGTTACTTGAAATGTAAGTCACTAATCCAAACCACTTAACAAGGCATTTGGAAGGCTATTTTGGTTGGAAACTTCCAAGGGAAGATATATGAACAATCTAGAAATTTCCAAGGGAAGATACATGAATAATCTAGAAAGTTCCAAGGGAAATGGATTTTATTATTTTGGGCTTGGGCTTCATTTCTAGAATATTCCAATCATCTCTATAAATGTTTAGAAACTCATTTGAAGCAAGGTTGGTGATTGATTGGAGTTGGATTGAAAGAGAGCATATCAATTTTCAAGAGAGCAAATCAAGTGGTTATTCTTCATTCAAGACGATTTCGGTTCGATTCGAAGATTGTAGCACTTTCCTTGCATATTGTTGAACG